GCTTTATCGCAAATCCGGGTACGGCTCTACCGCCCCCCGAGCATCTGGTCCTTCGAGCCGGATATCATATCTTCGCGATTAGTCTATTACCGCCGACCTTTCGCGTGTCCTTTCATTGTTCTAAGTCACCGAATCTTTCTGTAACGCGTAGTGCCATAGCTCGTGACCTTGCGGGTCTCGCAGGATCTCCCGTATCGCAACGCTCGCTTCGCGAAGGGAATTCTCGCGTAGCATCGCGCAATCGGCCATTAGCCGCCTGTAATTTACGCGAATTCGCTGAATTTCTTATTCTCGCATTAACGAGGTGCAATAACGCTCGGCGTGCTGACAACTCGTGTCTCGCGCGGTATCTCTCGTGCAACGCTAGCTTCGCAACGGGAATACGCGTGCGAACTTCGTTCGTCATAGCTCGGGCCGCAGCCGTTAATCGCCTTAAAATCGAATCCGCGCTCGCCGCGGTAATTAGTCGACATTTAATTGACTTGATCGTAACCGAAATATTCGGTCGAATATCCGAGTATTCCGGGCCAGCGATACTTTCGCGCATAGAGACAACGGCCGTGGCCTTCGATTACGGGCCGGTCTCGCGCGCGTTGTTTTTCCAATAGTCTCGAGCATCGCTCGTGTTTACGTCGTTGCGAGGTACGTACCGCCCGACCCAGCACTTGTATTATCCCGACATTCGTGCTCCGTCCGAGAGTACCATCGCTCAAAAATATTATTGTCACCGATCGAGAATATTTGCCTTTCGAACTCTGCGACGCGTGTTTATCGCGCTAATCCAACGGCTGATATTCTCCGCGTTCAACTCGAGGAATATTATCAAGAATATTCCCTCGGGACTTGCGCGAGCGCCGAACGGAGCCGTCCGTTACCCCTCACCTTGGCGACCTGACTTTCGTGATTGTTTTCGCCGGGTTTCGATATTGTTGGTTCGAGTTGCCGTCGCCTCCGACTGCCTATTCGTCGTTTACCCTTCGCTCTTAGCTTCGTCTGTCTGTGGTGGACGACCCCCTTGTTACATCATGTCGAAAAACGCATATGCTCGTCGCGAAGTATGCAATCGGCGTATGCAAGAAATACACGACCTCTCCCTACAAGCCGCGACCGACGCGGCAATACGAGCGACCTTCCTCGCTCGCTACTCGAGCGTAGCGAAGATCGCGGACGATTTTGAGGCCACCCACCTGAAGGTCATCCAAGAAGCGGCGGATTTCGAGGTCGAGGACGAAATCCGAGCTAGTTTCGATAAAATGCATTACGCCGTAAAGAGTCGATATCACCGTGAAACGGGCGCGCCATTCGGAGGCGCGCCGGCACAGCCCTCGGGTCAGGCCTCGGTGGTCAAGTTGCCTAAGATCCCGCTACCGCAGTTTTCCGGCGACCTTACGTTGTGGCCTTCCTTCATCGCGTTGTTCAACGCGTCGATACACAACCAGCAGATTTTCGCGATAGAGAAATACCAGTATCTGCTGGCTTCACTCAAAGGGGAACCACTCAACGTGGTGAAAAACCTGCCGTTTTCCGATGAGTACTATCTGATCGCTTACGACTCGCTGGTCGATCGATACCGGAATAAGAGAAGGTTAGCGGACCATCACTTGAATTCGATAATCGAGGCAAAGCCATTGAAGGCGGAGATGGCCGAGGCTCTTCACCACTTATTAGATACGTTTACCGAGAACACGCGTGCGCTCGCATTGATGAATTTCCCTACCGATTCATGGGACTTTATCCTACTGAAGTTTTTGTTAGACAAGCTTCCTCGTTCCCTACGGGAAAGATTCGAGTCGGCTCACCGGGCTGAGGAGATACCGCAATATACACAACTCACGAAATTTCTAGCGGAGCATTGTCAGGTTCTCGAGGCCGTCGCGGGCCCGTCCTCCAAAACCAAGTCCACACCGGTCTCTTCGTTCGTGACTAACGCGGCCGATTGCCCCGTTTGTAAGGAGTCTCACTACGTGTCGAAGTGCTCCCAGTTTTTAAAACTCTCGCCGAGGGAGAGGCAGGCTAAGGCTCGCGACTTGAGATTGTGCCTCAACTGCCTGCGCTCGGGGCATGGCATGAAAGACTGTCCGTCCGCGTGGGCATGTCGGTCCTGCGGCACAAAGCATCATACGCTTCTGCATTACGAGCAGAGCTCTAATACTACCCCTAAGCCCGAACCCATTAGCGCGACTCCTGCCGAACCGGACGCCGTACCCGCTCCTCAGTCGGAGGATGCGCCGATTGTAACAATGACTAGCCTGGCCCATAGAATCGTCCTCCTGTCCACCGTACGAGCCGAGGCGATAGACGCGCGTGGCAATGCGTTTCCCGTACGCATATTGCTGGACAGCGCGAGTCAGGCCAACTTTATTACCGAGGGCTGCCTCCGGAAGGGCGGCTTTCGTCGCACCAAACACAGTGCAACCGTGTTGGCGATAAACGAAGCCAGGGCGGCCACGACGAGGGGCCTCACCTCCCTCGTGATCTGCGCGCGCGGTCGCGACGACACTCGGTTCTCGATAGAGGCTACGGTCCTCTCGCGCATAACCTCGCCGCTGCCTAATGACAAGGTGGAGGTCCAGCCGTGGAAACACTTGAAGGGATTGCCGCTCGCGGATCCCGAATATTTCGTGCCCGGCGGTGTTGACATCCTCCTGGGGGCGGACTCGTTTGTGTCGGTGCTACGGGAGGGCCGTCGTAAGGGGGAAAGGGAAGAACCCGACGCCTTCAATTCAGTCTTCGGATGGGTTCTGACGGGCGCGGTATCCCCATCAGTCCAGGCGGCGCCCCTGAGGTCATTCGCGACTACGCTCGAGTCGATCGCGACATCGGTGGGTCGCTTCTGGCAATTGGAGGAGGTGCCGGAGGACGCTTCTTGTTCGGACGAGGATCGACGCTGCAAAGAAATCTTCGCCAAGACCACGTATCGTGACCCCTCGGGTCGTTTCGTGGTCTCGTACCCGTTCGCGTCGGATCCTCCTACATTCGTCGGCTCGCGCTCCATTGCGGTTAATCGTCTCCGCGCACTAGAACGTCGATTTAAATCTGATCCGGAGTTCAGAGCTGGTTACAATAGTTTCATGCGGGACTATCTCGATAGCGGACACATGGAGGTAATTCGCAATCCATTCCCGTCGGATGGCCACATTTATTATCTACCGCACCACGGTGTGTATAAACTCGATAGCACTACCACTAAGTTGCGGGTAGTGTTCAACGCGTCCTCGCGAGGCCCGGACGGTCTGTCGATCAACGACACCCTGCTCAGCGGTCCGAAGCTGCAGCAGGACCTGCTCGCCATCCTGCTTCGGTTCCGCGCCGAAGCGATCGCTCTAACCGCGGACGTGAAGCAGATGTTTCGCCAGATTTGGATGAGCCCGGAGCAATGCAACTACCAACGTATCGTCTGGCGCTTCTCGGAGTCGGACCCCATCCTCGACTATCTCCTCAAAACAGTTACATTCGGCTTTAGCGCCTCCCCGTTCTTGGCGATCTATTGTTTGCTCCAGTTAGCTCATCAATACCGCGAGAAATATCCTCTAGCGTTCGCAGCCCTACTCGAGGCGCTGTATGTGGATGACGTCGTGACAAGCGTTCGGACGGTGGAACAGGCTCGCGCACTCCGCGACCAATTGCTATCGCTTCTCCGAAGCGCCGGCTTCGAGCTTCGAAAGTGGTCGAGCAGCCATCCTGCCGCGCTGGAGGGCCTCGACCCGCAGTTATGTAGCCAATCGATGTTAGATTTCGAGTCAAGCGAGGATCAATCTCAGAAGATATTGGGCCTTCGGTGGCACTCACAATCTGACAGTTTCGGGTTTCAAGTCAACGCGTTGGATCGGGAGTGCACCAAACGCACTATACTGTCGGAAGTAGCGCGCATATTCGACCCCCTGGGTTTTCTGGCCCCACTCACCTTTACGGCGAAGTGCTTAATTCAGCGTCTGTGGACCCTCAAGTTAGATTGGGATGATGAGCCTCCAATAGACATTCGTCGCAGTTGGAGTCGTTTCCAGACGGAGCTCGGCGTGTTATCTTCCCTTCGCGTTCCTCGCGCGTTTAACTCGTGCCATGTAGATCGCTGCGAACTCCACGGGTTCTGCGATGCCAGCGAGCTGGGGTACGGAGCCGTGATTTATCTGCGAATCGTTACGCGCGACGGCGTCGGGGTCCGATTACTGTGCGCCCAGTCTAAGGTCGCCCCGCTTCGCCCCCTCACCATTCCCCGTCTGGAGCTCTGCGCGGCTCTGCTCTTGTCTAAATTAATCGCGTACGTCCGGCGCACCCTCCGCGGACACCTTGACATTGACGACGAGTATGCTTGGACGGATTCCGAGGTCGCCCGGGCCTGGATCCGCTCAGCACCACAACGGTGGAAGACCTTCGTTAGAAATCGCGTTGCCCTCATTCAGGACAACGTGCCGGTATCAGCTTGGGGTCACGTCGACACGGAGTCCAATCCGGCGGATCACTGCTCCCGCGGGCTTTATCCTCGCGATCTGGTGGCCAGTTCGATGTGGTGGGCGGGCCCTGAGTGGCTTGTTCGCTTCGAACCCCGAGTTGAGCCTTCCCACGGTTCAGAAACCCCTCCGATCGAGGAGGAGAAAATCGTATCGCTCGTGGCGCTCGATCCGCCTGACGCGGTACATTCATTGCTCGAAAGATTCTCTTCAATCGAGAAAATTGGCCGAATTATAGCATACATTCTCAGGTTTGTACATCACTTCCGTGCAAAATCTGCTCCTACGACTTTGGCCATAGATCAGCTCGAACTGCATTCCGCGTTACTACTCGTTGTGAAGAGTGTACAGGCGGATGCTTTCCGCGATGAGATCGATCGTCTTCAAAGCGGGAGAAGGCTCCCCAAGCCCTTTCGCAAACTCGCTCCCTTCCTTGATCCGATGGGTATTCTCAGGGTGGGCGGCAGGCTTGCAAAATCCGGATTGACATTCGAGAACAAGCACCCTGCCTTACTGCCCTGTAAACATAGGCTCACGGATCTCGTTATCGAGCACGTGCACCGCACGAACATGCACCCTGGTCGGCGCACGCTGCAATACCTGCTCACGCAACATTATTGGGTCCTCGGGGTGCATCGCGCTATACAACGCGTACTCTCGAGATGTCATCAATGTTTCCGCGTAAATCCACACACCTCTCAGCCCCCCATGGCGGAACTACCGGCCGATAGGGTCCGACGGGCCAAGCCATTTTCGATCAGCGGCGTTGATTTCGCGGGACCGTTCAACATAGTTACGCGACGAGCCCGGGGGGTCTCCTCCGTCAAAGTGTACGCGTGCCTTTTCGTATGCTTTTCGGTTAAGGCGGTGCACCTGGAGGCCGCCTTCTCGTTGTCCACCGACTCCTTCCTCGCTGCGCTGCGACGCTTTGTGGCCCGACGCGGACGCTGCTCGCTTCTCTACAGCGACTGCGGAACGAATTTTGTGGGGGCCGCACGGGAACTAGAAAGCCGCATGAGCCTCGCAGCGGAGCGAGAGAAGATCAAGTGGTCCTTTAATCCTCCCTCCGCGCCCCACTTCGGGGGCCTCTGGGAGGCGGGAGTCAAGACCTTTAAAACCCACCTGCGGCGGACCGTGGGTGATCAAGTCCTCTCAATAGAGGAGTTCACGACGGTCCTCGCGCAGGTCGAGGCCGTCTTGAACTCCAGACCCCTCTGCCCGATGAGCACCGACCCTGCCGACCTCGAAGTCCTATCGCCGGGACACTTCCTCACGATGGAACCGCTCGTCTCCGTTCCCACTCAAGACGTGACCCCGTTACCGATGAATCGGCTGAGTCGGTGGCAACTCGTCCAACGAATACACCAGGACTTCTGGAAGCGCTGGCATCAGGAGTATCTCCATACGCTGCAACAGCGTCCCAAATGGTGGACCTCAGTCAACCCGCTCGGTGTCGGTGCGTTAGTCCTCCTCAAGGACGCCAACATGCCTCCTCTGCGTTGGAGGCGAGGACGAGTGGAGGCGCTGCATCCGGGCAGCGACGGCATCCCGCGTGTCGCCACGGTGCGGGTGGCGGACGGCACGATCACGCGTCCCCTAGTGAAGCTGTGCCCCCTGCCGATGGGCCCTGCTCCACAGGCGACCGATTCAAATTGACAGTAAAATACAACTCGTTGTAT